CAATCAGTCGGAGCCACCGGGGAGCTGCCCGCCCCCCCAATCCCGCACCCCTGTGCTCCCTCACCCGGCACCCCGAGCCGCGGCACCCCGTCCCCCTCTGCAGTGGTGCAGGGCGGCTGCGGGAGTTTAATTAAAGTCCCTGATAAATCATCTTGGCCCTCCAGCAACAGCCACCGCTTGCAGGCTTTGGATTTTTGGTGCTGTCCCCCCGGTGGGTCCCATGGCGGGTGGGGAGTGCTCAGGTAGGAGATGCTGGGAGGGGCTGCACCGCCACGATGCCCACAGAGCTCAGGACCCCCTTCAGCGGGGGGGGGCAATGGGGGGCACCAGCCTGCCCAGCCCCCTGTGCCTGCCCAAAGGGAGATGGGCTCCTGCAGCCCCTCCTGCCCTCCCCCGCTGCGGGACAGGGCTCCCCCGGCTCTCCCACCCTCATCCCAGTGCACAGAGAGGCGCTGGGGACGGGCGTGCGCCCCACCACCAGCCCTGACACCCTGCAGAGGGACAGGCGGCGCCTCCTAATTAATCCAGCCCTGGGTTATTAGAAACAAGACAAGCCCTTTGCAAATCAGATTAGTGGTGCTCTGAGCCAGGCTTTGGGGATCGCTGGTGTTTAATGGTGAGGTTCTGGACGAGCAGCCCTGCAGGGATGCTTGTGGCTATCGCTCAGAAAAGTGCTGGAGAGGGTCTGGGTGTGGGGTGGTTTCAGGGACCCCCTCCCCCCGCATGCGGGAGGCTGCGGGGAGCTGGGATGGGCTGCAGTTGCCCCCACAAGCCTGGTGGTGCAGGCTGCAGAGATGCTGCTAGTGCCGCTGGGCAGTGCTGGGGCTGCCGTGGGGAGGATGGGGGCAATGCGGGACGTGGGGCAGCAGTGGGGAGCCATATTGCAGCTGGGGGGAGCCGGAGCCATGCCACGCCTGTGCCAGCCCAGCACCTCTACAGGGACGTAGCACCGGCAGACCCGCGTGTGTGCACCTGCTGCCAGCTCCTGCCCTGACGCATGGCCACTGCCGTGTATGGGTCTCAGCACAGGGACAACACATCGAAGACATGGCCCTCTTGTTCACCCCCTCTCACCACTCCCCAAAATACCCCCCTGGCACACCCTGCCTCCACCAGCCCCAAGCCCGCAGCCTCCTTCTGCCGCAGCATTGACCAGTGGCTCCTTTTTCCACCTCCACAGAAAAAACGCCTCCTTGCCCTCGTGCCCAGCCCTGCTCTGCCCACTGGGACCTGGTGGGACAGGCACGTGGGCAGCGGGACAGGCCTGCACTTGGCCCGTCCGTCCGCCCTGCGGCAGCCCTGCTCCGGGTGCTGACGTCAGCACTCCCGGCAGCCGGGCGGTGGGCGGGTGGCACCGCTCCTATTGTATTAAAAATAATACAGCGGAGCACAAATTTATTACAGATAAGTGTGACAGCCAGGAGGAATTAACGAGCCCGTCTCTCAGTGCCTGACAAACGCCTCCTTTTGTTCCTGGGATGGGTCCTTCAGGCTTTCAATCTCTGGAGATGCCTCGGCTCATTAAGCGCATCCTCCCCCAGTAGCTCCCAGCGTGTCCAGGGACTGCTCCCAGTATGAGCTGTGGCCAAGCCGGCAGGGTCGTCCCTTGTGCCAGCACCCAGCGCTAAGCTGGGCTTGCCCTCCTTGGGGCTCGGTGGCCTGGAGTCCTGTCCCCAAGTGTGGGAACCCACGCAGGGTGCGGGGTGGCCAGGGGGAGGTGGGCGAAGCAGCCCCCGTCCCTGCTGTCGCGGGAAGCATGAGGCTCACATGAGCTGTGGCCAACCGCCCCGGCACTTCAGCTGCTGGTGCCGGCAGCACAACCGCAGCTGACCGGCTGTCAGGTGCCCAACTCTGCCCTGCTGGCTGGGCTCCCATGGGAAGGGCAGCCAGGGGCTCATCACCAGCACTGGGCATCGCCTCCATCCTCCTGCGCCGCACACCCCTGTGGACATCCCTGCTCCCGGGATGGGCCCAGGGGACCCCTGCAGTCCCAGAGCCGAGCTGGCTCTGGCAGGTGTTTGGAGGATGCTCCTGGTGCTGGGAGATTGCTTGCACCTGGCATGGGCACTCCTTAGGCACAGCTGTCTCCCGGCATTGTTCTGGGCAGTGTCACCTGCCAGGTGGCTGCCTGGAGCTGCAGGGGGAGGCAGGAAGGGAAGGGACAGGGAGGGATGGGGGGGACAGTGCCGTGGCCAGATGGAGGAGGAAGCTTTCAGTGCTGCCAAGTCCTGCAAGTTGCCTCTGTGCCGGCTCGCGGGGGCAGCGTGGCAGGGACGGAGCAGGTACAGGTGCCAGGGCCCTGGCAGCACCTCGCTCTGCTCCCTGCCGGTGCCTGGGGAAAGGGCACGGGGCTGGCTGCCGCTGCCGCATCGCCCACCGCATCCGCCACCAGCAACGCCCCGAGCGGCACCTGCCTGCCCCGCTGCCAGCATCGTCCCCAGGCCTCGCAGCCACACAGGGACCCTG